TAATAATAATACTAATGATGATAATGATCTTACCAATAATACAATAACAATGATGATGACGATGATAGTGATGGTGATGGTGATGCTGATGACGGTGATGATGATTATGATAATGATGAAGAAGACGATGATAGTAATGAACATGATGCTATTCAAAAACACATTTGAACATGATGCTGTTTCAAAAAACACATTACCATTTCATTCTCATTCATCAGTGCAATGTTGTGAAGAATGCAAGCGGCCCTGATGAGCTTCCCATTGGTTTCAACGTGCCTGTCCAGGAGCTGCATTCTCCTGAATCGTGACTTGAATACTGTCATTGCGTTAGCTGATAGTTTCTGAGCTTCGTTGTGATTCTCGTTGAACAGTGCTTCCTAAGTGTTGGAAAAATAAAATGTATGTATTCATTTATATCTATTACTTTATATCTTTTTATTTGCCCTCCTTTTTCTCCTTCTCACTTTCTCCTTCTCCATTATCTACCATTTACTACATCGGCCGACAATATATACTTGCTCTGACTTGTACTTGCTTTGACTGCATATTAAATACTGCATATTTTGTATTCCAATACAACAGGGGTTCTTATAATATTTGATGGGACCTAAAGACTCCAATAAGTCTCAACAAACAGACAGGGGAGTTGAAAGAAAGTTGATGAGTAGCATGTCCAGGTCGGTTGAATGATAACTGGAGTTTTACAAGGGTTTCAACAAATGACTGGAGGTAAGTAAACTATGAGAAGACTATCAGACATTCATTCAAGTCTTTCATGCCCCTGTAGAATCGTAGATGTTTACACCTGTTCTTGGTGTTTTGTCAAGGCTTATTTACATGTGGGATGAGATCCTGCATAGCCACCCTTCATGTGCATGGATGGTCACAAACTACCACACTACCACAAACTCTATCACACTTCTTTACTCACCCACATTTACTATAATAGTGTGTAAGAGTCAAAATCCCTTATTTTGATTTTATAAAAATATGTACTTTTTGTTCAATATATAATGTATACGGATAGGATATGCCTTGCAATTTCATTTAAAATTTTATAGTTGGGGATCACTGAAAAATCTGAAACTTTATTAGGGACTCAATAGACTCCTGCAGTGTAGGAAGACAATGTTAATATGAACAAGTTAAATTTAGATAACCTTCACAAAGAAAATTACTTGAAAATTAGAAGAACAAAGTAGAATTTGAAATAGAAGATAAGTTGAAGATTCAACAACCTAGTATACTAAACTAACACATTATATCTTGGGTAGATTCATCAGTACATAAAAAACTGGCCAAGACAAAGCTTTCATTTGACTGGTTGAAATAAAAAAAATTAAATTACTAAACTCAGTTACTTTACAAAACCTTCAGATTTGTGTTTGAAATAGCAATGAAGTGGGACTATAACTAAAATAGCAATGATATTGATTTCAAAAGTAATACCTAATTTTTAAATATGTTTCCACTAAATATTCACAGCCACTTTAAAGCAAAGATTATATGCAGCTGTTGTTGTTTGAGAGTACTATGCTTTAATGTTAGTGTTCTTCAACTAAGAAGCCACACTAAGTTACATATAAATATCTTTAAAAAATACATTTTATTCATACCTGATATGTCAATGTTTCTGTCATATGAGGCGTCATCACAGCTGGAGCCAATGGATACACAGCTGGTGCCACAAGATGAGTCTCTGCACTGGTTAGATTTTGTATGGTTATCCAAGCATCAGATTCCTGTAAAGAAATGAAGGGAATGGAAATAAAAAGCACTAAAAAAAAATTTGACAGGCCTAGAACTGTTTAATCAAATAGCCGCACTTCCTTAAAAAATCTTCTGTAAGCTATGGATACACTTTACCAACACATTACAAATAATCTATTTCATTAACCAATGGCTGTTTCTCCTGAAGAGACATCTCCCCATACCTGGAAAACTTGAAAACGTGTCCCTGTCTTGGGAGCGTCCAGATGGATGTCCCGGAACACAAGTCGATGGTCAACAATGAATTGCAACACAAAGCCATACTTGGATTCCTCTTCAGTAGTAACGTAAGCATAATTCAGTCTGTCGTCACCTGTAGGAGCCATCATGTGAATGAGGGCGGCATCCAGGGCCCCAAACACGCCTGGGAATCCACAGTCATGCTTGATCACTTCAGCGACCTTCACTCTGAAAGTATTTGGAGAACATCCATCCAGGAAGCTATTTAAGGTGCATACAAACATCAAGTCCATTATTTGTGTGTGTGTGTGTGTGTGTGTGTGTGTGTGTGTGTGTGTGTGTGTGTGTGTGTGGTGTGTGTGTGTGTGTGTGTGTGTGTGTGTGTGTGTGTGTGGTGTGTGCGTGTGTGTGTGTGTGTGTGTGTGTATACAATGTGTGTTATGTTGTGTGTACATGTGCCTTTGCATATACCCACACATATGCTTAACCATACCTTTGTAATCATTAAAAGTACATACAGATACACAAATACAAGAACTTCAAAGAGAAGAAAGACCCCAATTACCTTTCTTCAACTGGTGGCCATTTTAAATACTTTTCCTGCTGCCCGAGCAAGAAGTCTGCAAACATCACCACAGTCTCAAAGAGTTTTCCTGCCTTCACTTTAAACCTAGATAGGAAAATTAATTATTAGATACGTTCAAACAAATGTTATAATTATTCTCTTTAGTTCATCGCTGGAGATCTATATTCAAAATCTTACATTAGAACGAATGATCAATATTATTATCACACATTCTTTACACTTCTGGATCTGAGGCTATTTTGATGCATTTTGCAATCAGCAGTTCCATATTTATAAACTACTATACAAAAATCTATAAACATAAAAAACAACACCTTTTGTGAAAAGCATAAACACTTGTTCAGGAAAACTACACCATAAGTAACCTGTAATGAATCTATTACTACTACTACTACTACTACTACAAAAAACATATGTGGTTATCATACTTCGCACTGGCCATAGATAGGTTGTCAGTCGACCCGAGGTAATAGAGCCCTGCCAGAACAAGTTGGTCTAGGGGCTGGACCTTATCCGCTGGAAGACCTGCAGCTTCTAATCGGAATGCCTCCACTCTGTGCCACTCATCAACTAGTATCTGCAAACAAGAGATGGATGTTTTTCTTTTCCTCTCACGAAACTAAACTCGAAGATACAAAAGAAATATTTTTGAGAAAAGGAAATACCCACAAATATATGGTGTCAAGATAGTAAACTATACCTCGACTTTTACCAATAACATAAATGAGACAGCGAAATATACATATGTATATCGTGACAAGCATATAATACTTGGGATTTTCTTCATACATTAAGTTTGAATGAATATATTAGGCATTATCATAAAGACAGCAGAATTTTGGACATAAAGCATTGAGAAAAAGAAGAAATAATTAATATATATACATATATATATTCACGGAAGAAAAGCTAAATTTTGTGCCAAACATTAGGTTCTTCCTTGGGTATAAATCCTGATGATGGGCATATTTGAACTGTATTCATGTTGACACGAGCTGTATTTGACCAGTTTCGAATATCTTCATCAGAAATACATGACTAAGATATATTCATAACCAGTCAAATACATTTCTTGTACTGTGAAGATATGCCTTTTCATTTATATCTTTTCTGGATGTGCATATATATTTCTCTCTGTTTACTTCCACTTACTGAGTCATGTGACATTAGAGCTAACCAAGCATTTAAAATTCATCATTCTTCATATGACATACTTGATATACAGGCTTTGTGACTCTGAATGTCTGCAAGAAGTCCCCATCATTCAGCTCTGTGTCCCAGGTAGGTAGTAATGACAAACGGCTGCTTCTTTGTTTGCGAGGTCTGCTGGTCTGCAAATACATAAAATATGGGGGACATGAAAATACAGGTAAATCATTACGAGAAATGACAAAAATAAAGGAATAATAATCAATAATAATAATAATAATAATAATAATAATAATAATAATAATAATAATCAATAATAATAATAATAACCCAATAATGTAAACCAAGTATTTTTAAGAATCTCAAATTCAGATTTTACTATCACACACAAACCAGGCTTATCCAATTAATTACTTACTGGACCTTTCCTATGATTGCAATGATCAGATTCTTTTGGCAATTGTATGTATATTCTCCTCTCTCCAAACACTTGCTCCTCTTTCAGAGCTGTTCTCAAATTATTTGATTTCAACTTCTTTGCCTCACGGGAATTGATGTCCACCTGTATAAAATAAATTTAATACCACATGGCATCAAAAGCATGCATTGTACTGACAGTTAATCTATTTCACACATCGATACGAAAGATCCTGCAACCAATACTTCATCTTAATGATAGATATCTGGAGATATTTATGATATAGTCCAACTGCTAAGGGAAATATACTGTATCTTAAAAGTACTTAAAACCAGACATGCTTACCTTAAAATCTGGAAATTTAATCACATCTTTGAGGAATATTTTGGCTGGGCAATCCACTTTTTTTGAAACATGTTTTGGTACTTCATCCTCCTTCCATAGATCATTCTGTAATATCAAAAAGACAGGCAATCAAGAAATGATATAATTTCAAATATACTTTCTGTGAATAGCATCCATCAAAGTCATCACTGCTTTTATCAAAATGAAAGTAAAAAGACGAAAGTTGTTTAAGCTACTAAACAACATAGCTCCTTACCTTTTTTCTTTCTAAATGATTTTTCTTTTGATAGGCACTTCTGTTTACTCCATACTGACATTCCAATACTTTGGTTCCATTCAGTATATACGGCACCCCATCAAACTCTGGCAGAGTGTTCTCCCTTGTCTCTTCTTGTTGCCAGAGAATCTTGCGATTGTCAACACTCCATTCTGGAAATTGGAAAAGTTGCATAATAAATAAGAGAGAATTTCATATTCATCAGAAAAAAAAAGAAAAAAAATGTACACAATGCCCATTACTGTCTTCTTAAAAATCAAATAATCTTTAAAAACAACTTACCATCTCTACCAAAACTCCTCTGAACCTTGTAGCATGTGAAACGCGAAGAAGTCCGTTGCTGGAAGAGATTTACTACCTCATTGGCTCTGTCTACTGAAAGAACATACCCACAGTTTGGTTTCAGCATGTAATCAAAGTAGTCTGCATCCATCTCTGTTTTAGCTATAATTTCTCCACTCACAATATTTTCTTCAGCTGCAGCTTCAGGTGTTTCAACTGCTTCTGTAACATCCATATTTACATCAACTTGACTTTCCAGATACCCTACTTCATTTTTCTCACAGCTTTCTTCTTGGGGTAAATACCTATTATAACTTCTATGTGCAAAGGGAGGGTATGAGAAGTTATCTTTATCAATGTCATGATTATGAGTCTGGACATACTTCACATTCACCGACCCATCGCTCAGCTCCTTGACTAGCATTCTAGCTGGACACACAAGTCCTGTTTTAACTCTCCCCTTCTTCCATTTCCTGGATGCGGTTCTCCCAAGCTCTCCTGGAGTACTAGGGTATCTGTCCGGCCCATTGTACTGACAGACATATGAAAGATAGACCTTACCCTCAGAAGATGTTACACTATGTCTTGTACTAAAGTATGAAAAACTCCTTAGTTCTTCATCTTCCTTCCACAGCTTGAAATCTGCTATTGACTGAAAATGTTTCTCTACAACTGATATTTCTAAATCTGTATGGTCATTTTCAACATGCTTCATCATAGAAGAAATATGAAAGAATTTCTTCTCACACGCAGGATGAATACATTGCGTTTTCTTGAGTTTTTCATCTTTCCCACACATCTCTTTATGTCTTTGTAAGCTCTGTATATTTCTATATACTGTATTACAATTTTGACATCTCAGCTCATTCTCCATACTGCTCTCACACACCATTTCTGGATGGTCCTTCTTGATATGCTCTGCAAGTCTCGACTTATGGAAGTATTCTCTTGTACACGATGGCGATATGCATTGTGATTTTTTTAGCTTTCCTTTTTTACCACATACTTTGGCATGTGTCCTCATACTTCTCAAGTAAAGGTATTCTCTATCACATCTAGGACACTTAAAACTTAGTTTTGGCTCCTTGTAATCCATCTCAGGATGGTCTTCAGCTAAATGCTGAATCAACCTGCACTTGTGAAAGAATTCTTTTTTACAAGAAGGGTGTACACAGCGTGTCTTGGAGAGTTTACTATGTTCACCACATGACTTCCTATGGGTTTGAAAGCTTGAAAAATATGTAAATCCTCTATGACAATTATCACACTCATAATGAGACGCAGGCTTCAAAACAACTTTAATATCGGGGTGACATTGTTCAACATGTTGATTTAATAAAGCCCTACTGAAGAATTCCTTTTTACAGTCTGGGTATATGCACCTTATTTTCTTTTTTCCATCTTGCCTCCCAATTTTTTGTGAGTCAGCTAATTTTCCACAGGTCCTCTGGTGGATACGTAAGGCTGATACCTGAGAAAACAATTCATGACACCTTGGACAAGCAAATTCACTGTCTCTCCTGTCAAATTCAAGGGCTTGTTCGGGCTCCTTTTTTGATATGTGGTTCCTTTCAAAGTGTTCAATCATGCGAAATTTATGAAAGAACTCTTTTTCACACAACGGATCTATGCATTTGGTTTTCCGGAGTTTACTCTCCTTTCCACAAATTTTCTTGTGGGATTCCAAGGTCCGCAAGTGGAAGTAAGTTCGGTCACACACTTCACACTGGAAAGTACCTTCCTTCTTCACACTATTCATATCTTCTTCAATAACATAGCTCTCTGAATCAATAGTGGAGTCAGCATCCTCCCTTCTACTCTGCAGTGACATATTAAGTTTTCGAATATCTGGTTTAACATCCCGTACCTCATGGAATGCCTGCACATCTTCAACCTCTTGCTTGACCCACACTTTCAAAACATTTGGCTGTCTGGTAGTAAAATTGACTTGGTTATTAGGATATGCTTCCACCACTCTGGGATATTTTTCAGATTCCACCATTATCATCTCCCTGTCTCTCTGAGTATGCTGCTCAGGTATATCTTTCATCTCAGGAACTTCTATTCTCTCCTGTTTTAACCGCACTGGAATAACCCTAACTTGATGCTTTGAAGGCTTTGTAAGTGTTTTTGTAAGTGTTAATCTTGTACCTTGAGGAGGAGGGTCTTGGTGGTGCTCAGTTCCTTCTCTATGATCGATGACAATACAAGCTCTGCCCTCACAGCCCCACCTTTCCTCTTCACTCGCTTCGAAGTCTCCATTCTCTATGGTGATGCTGACTTCCGGTTGGTCGTTGAAGTCTCTTACAGTATTACTTTCTTCCATTTTAAAGCACTGTATTCATTCAAAATGCCTTTATCATATCAGTGAGCACTCATGTTTAAGTTCATCTTGCGCAGGATCTGGAAAAAAAGGTCTAAAATGAAATGTAATCACCTAAGATTTGAAAGATAATTTAAAAGTCTAGTACATTCTTTTACACAATAAAAACAAGTGAAAAAGTACAATTTTTAACTCAGTACAAAGGGATAAAATTTCGATAAATTCTAGTGAGGGTGAGTGTACAATTATGAGCAGTGTTCTATGCTGGGTGACAGTCCAGCCCACAGTCAGGCATGTATTACCTCACCCCAGAAATATGGACTCTTAGCATGACGTGGCATCACCTGGCATCTGGTAATATTTGCCAAGACATGATAGGACATTACTCACTGCCAATAAATTAATATCAATTTATTCTTATTAAAAATCAATTGAAAGAACTATAAATAAACTTTGGGAAGTCAGTAACTGAACAAAGAGGAAATAGTGTTTTATTATTCCTTTATTTCCCACTATCAATTTAGGTAGCAGTGAGTTCATTTAATTTCTTAGACAGCCCCTATTGTTAACTCAACTCTACTTTCATGTAGTCCTATTTAGGATAATTACCACTTCTTTCCTTTTTCCAAAATTATTTACAATACTACACCCCATACGATGGCACAAAACTTAAAAGCTTTGATGAGCTAAATTGGAGCAGATTCACATAAATACACACTAAAGAACCAAAGAATACATTCAGTTCCCATTCATGGCTTTGACGAAACTATGAAGTCCATAAATCTGTCACTCATTGGTTGTTCTTACAATGATATCAGCCAACAAAGAAATTACAAGAATGCAGTATATATAGCCGTGAACAAGCTATGTTCAAGAAACACTTATTTTGCCGTGGTGCACTCTGATTGGCTGGTAAGTCTTAGCATGTGCAATATCAGGCTCACTATGATTGGTTATGATAAGGAAGGAGTATCTGGACCAGTTTGAATCCTGGAATCATGGAGACAACAGAGTTATTGAAAATAGCAATGAATCTGTGAACTTTCTTGAGCTTGAACCAGCCATAAAGCTTTTGGAGTTGGAGCACAATATCATTTTTTGTTTAGGTTTTGTTTTGATTTGGATTGTAATAAGTGTCTAGTGTTTGCTGTTAAAAAATGACAAAATAGTCAGTCTAACAGCAATGCCGTGCACTGTAACTGCATGTGGTGCCCCCTATATATGATGTCAAGGCCATTGGTACATCAGAGTGTTTCATGGCAAAATATGTGTTTCCCAAACACTGCCGGTTTACTGTACTATATTCACTGCCTTAAAAGAAACTGAGTTTTTGCCAGTTCACGTTACTGCCACCTTCTTAAAAAAAAAAAAAAAAAAAAAGTTCTTGTAGCACTGCCTTAAAAGAAACTGAGTTTTCTGGGGGGGTTTTCTTGCAACGCTTTGTTTTGAAGGATTGAGAAATTTTTCTTGGAAAAAGATCTGTTGCTATACTCTGCTGTTATTACAACATTTAGGGTTTATGCAATAGAGGCGGCTATGAACTGAATATGCATACTACTAAAAGCTTAATATGGAGGTTGGATGTTCAGGGGATCAGAATGAATATATGCTCATGTAATGTATGCTTAAACTATGTGGTACAATGTGTGGAATGTCAAGTAACATTCTAATATTCGCATTAGGACAGAAATCAGTAACTAAACCTTTGCCAAAGAAACCACGTCATTAAATTTCAAGGAAAAGAATTACTGCAAAAAGTAATAGTGAACTTTTAGTATGCTTCAATATTTTCAAAATATGTTCTTCTACATAGGTACAAAATATATCCCCATTACTACAAAAAAAAAAAAAATTACGCACCTTCAACCTATTAGACATTAAACCCTGAAAATTACTCAAACACAATTCCCAAAACCAGTCTAAATTCACTCTATTTTGTACAATTATTTTGAGAGCCTGGCAATTAACACTACTCGTACCTTACAACCCAAATGTTCATAACACCAAACACTCGTGGCTTGCTGCTTCTATCACTTTATCCATAACTCCAAAAACTGTCGAAATCTCATGTAATGGAAGAGTAAAATATTATCTTCCTGCGCGAGAAGTTCGGTTTCAAGATTCTAAATCGCGTAGGATATTTGTTTACATGAAGCACACGATCTGGGCCGATTTTCCACCGCTTTCATTTTTTATAATATGTCAACAAGTAAATTCATCCTAAAAAAAATTACATCATTATGTGTTTGAAGAATATTTTTAGAATACTTCTGAATAATCTGAGTGTCTTCTGTAGATATACACAAAGAAACGGTTTAATCTTATGAGTACACACTCGCGCGCCGTGTGTGTGTTTGTATGTCTATCTATCTATCTATATGTGCATATATATACAAATATATACGTATATATGTATATATGCATGTATATATATACTTATATTTATGTAAATATATATACATACATATATACATATACATATATATTATATATATATATATATATATATATATATATATATATATATATATATATATATATATATACATATACATATATAAATATATGTATATATATACATATACATATATAAATATATATAACATATACATATACATACAACACACACACACACACACACACACACACACACACACACACACACACACACACACACACACACACATATATATATATATATATATATATATATATATATATATATATATACATACACACACACAAACACATATATGTATACATATGCAATTATCATTATGTTATTATTATCTCTCTCTCTCTCTCTCTCTCTCTCTCTCTCTCTCTCTCTCTCTCTCTCTCTCTCTCTCTCTCTCTCTCTCTCTCTCTCTCTCTCTCTCTCTCTACATATACATATATATATATATATATATATATATATATATATATATATATATATATATATATATATATATATATATATGCAACATGGACAACGAAGGGAAAGGCAAAAAACTTACGAATATGCCGAAGAAGGCCTTTCGCTATTGCTTCGTCAGGGCTCGATACATCTAAGAAAGAATGAAAGAATAGAAAGTCAGCTATTTACGTAAGAAAAAACATGTTAGCTGATCTTTTAAACTTATCAAGAGTCGGAGAAGTTACAATCTCTGAAGACAATATATTCCAAAGTTTACAAATAGCAGTAAAAGCATCTAGAAAACTTACCTTTACGAACTAAAAGGCGAAAGATTACGGCTAATTTAGGAGCTAATTGGCCATTTACTCTTTTTAAAATCAAAGGAAACAAACCATTAGGGTCTACTCCACCATATTCATCTAGTTCTGATAACAGATACTTGATTTCAGAGGACCTGAAAGCAAATGAATTAAAGCATGGCAATGGGTGACAAAGGAGGAAGTTCAATATCTTTTAAACTTTGTTTTAAAATAAAACAAACGGCTAACAAGGTAGCTTTCTCAAACGGACTATACGTAACACTACCATCAGGTTTCATTAAAGGAGGAATGGAGGACTCAAGACCAAACAGAGATGTTTTAAGTGTTGACCACCATTTATGAGGCTGTGAGGCATCTGAGAGAACTTCTTTCAAATGAGCATTATATTCAGATTTAGCCTCCTTATAAACATTAGTTGCTGTGTTTCACATGGCAACATAATTCTCCCAACAAAGATGAGTACGGTTAGCAGACCAGAGATTGTAGGCAGCATGTTTGTCCCTATAAGCCTGGTGACACCGCTCATTAAACCATGCTTTATCATGTGAACGAGATTTCAGAGTTTTGCTGGGTAAAAACCTCTTTATGATGTCCAACAATAACAAATTCAAAGCTTTAACAGGACAAGGAGCATTAAAAACATTTCGCCAAACAAACAAAATTTCAAAAGCATGGTAGACAATGTTCCAGTTACTTCTAGACTCTAAGAAGACTTGTCTAGTTAGCGTAAAATCTGGTTTATGGAAGTCCAACTGGATCTTACATGCTAGACTACAGTGGTCGGAAGAAGCTATTGACGCAATGGAGTCTACATCAGTTACCCCTCTCACATCACTCACTCCTGTGAGTTGCACCACGGACTAACTGCTCACACCCAACTACATCTGCGAAATCTAATGCAGAAATGCCATGTAGGTCAGTTGGGGACACAGAATTCAGCCAGTCTCGGTGGTGAGCATTAAAATCACCTATAAATATAAAACAAGATTTACTATCATGCTCTTGAATAGAAATATACGAAGTCAACAAACAATCATAAATACTGTCATCTCTATACAGACTAAAAATGTAAAATTATTAAAACGACTAGACAGTGTAGCATTCATATAACCACTCTATTTGTACGACAATTACAAAATATAACGCGGTCAATTCACATTTGCCAATTCTGATTGGCTAAACAGTCTCTCCGTGTGTGTCTATAACCTAGCTTGGTTTGTCTAAACCCATGAACTTACAGTACAGTAGTTCTTTGATACAGTACAAACTGTAAAAAGGCTTTGTTCCAATGTATTGTAGAGTATTTCATTGCAGGTTACTACTTCACGATTTCGCCTATCACGGTTCTTTTTGAACGTAAACCCCGCAACAAGGGTTCAATGGATTAAAATTAGGTAAAAGCAACTCTGACATGTGCCTCATATCTGAAACTAGAGTTTCAGTACAAATCATATACATATATATATATATATATATATATATATATATATATATATATATATATATATATATGTATATATATATAATTATGTATGTATGTATGTATGTATGTCTATATTGCATACACACAACACACACACACACACACACACACACACACACACACACACATATATATGTATATATATATGTATATATATATGCATATATAAATAAAAAACACACACGCACACACAACACACACACACACACACACACACACACACACCACACACACACACACACACACACATATATATATATATATATATATATATATATATATATATATATACATATATATACATATATCACACACACGCTCTCTCTCTCTCTCCCTATAACCCACTGTAATGGGAAGTCTATCGAGGTCTCAAGAAACTTGTGATGGAAGTAGTGCAGCGTCAAGTGAATGGAAATGGTCAATTACGGTGATTTTGTCGTCGAAAATCTACGGATGATCAACGGTGATTTCAATATCTTCAGCTGATTGTGAAAACGAGAATAGAACGCAATTTACCTTCTGTTTACGAATAAATATTATACATAAGGGCTACATTTAGTGTCAAATCAGTTAGAGGACGCCTGTACTGAGTTCCAAAGACAACTAAAATTATAGTGGAGCCATCTTTGAATGACAACATCGACTAGTACTAAAAGCCATGGACATAAGATAAAATGTAAACACTGATCTCAGCTGAACCTACCCATAAGAAAGACCCTATATGCTCTGTTCCACCGTGGAAAATAACGGACCTAAGTGTACTTTATACGCCCCCCCCCAAAAAAAAAACAGTGCTCCCCCCCCGCTGTACTTGAGCAATACGCACTAGTAATTACATATGAGCATTTTTCTACCCAATGTCTACGGAATGCTACATCGACGGATCCTTGCAGTCCGAGAGTAGGAGGAGGATGCGCCTACTATGCAGCGCCAGGACCGTAGGAGGGTTCATGCCTACTTCGCAAGCTGAGTTTGCAAGAGCGACCATAGCCACCGAATTTATATTGAATCAAGGCTCAATTTTCTATGATTCACAGAGTGCTTTTCCAGACCCCAATCTTTTCGCCTATTGCACCCTTTATTACCTTCTTGTACTGTTACGTACCCCCACCCCCCGGCTACTATGACTAAATATAGATAACGTAAATAATATACAGACTGCATTGCAGGTGTGTTTGTCAATAAATTCGGACAATGCTTAAAAAATACTTACACAACAATGTTCCTTGTTTGTTCACGGACCACTATGATCTATGTTACGTAACCCCAGGACAACACTGCTCTAGACGAAGATGCAGGAATTATTGCAAATGGCATTCGTGCAACGTCATGATATACGTTTGTGTGGATATTAACGCATTTTGGAAGATCTTGCTGATGCAACACCAGCGCAACAAGCAAAGTGTGGATATAGATCTTGATGATGATGATGATTATTATTACCATCATTGTTGTCATTATCATTATTATTGTTATCATTATTACTGTTATTATCATTAGAATTAACATTACTCTTATTATGAATACTCTTATTATGAATATTATTGGCAATTCGAGTGTTGATATTTTTATTGTTATCATTTATTCATTTATTATCATCGATGGTTATGAATATTATTACTACTATCTCATTATTATGATCATTGTTATTATTATTATATTATCATCTGATTATCATTATTATCTTATTATTATTATTATTTAATTATTATTATTTATTATCATTATTAACATTATCTTATTATTATCACTGATGTTATTGGAATTCGTAGTGTTGATATTTTTATTGTTATCATTTATTCATTTATTATCATTATCATGATTGTGAATATTATTACTACTATCATTATCATCATCATTATTGTTATTAGTTATTATTATTATTGTTATTATTATTGATTATTTTATTATTATCATTATTATTATCATTACTATTGTTATTATAATCATTATTATTATTATTTATTATTATTATTATTATATTATTATTATTATTATTATTATTATCATTATTATTATATTATATTATCATTATTATTATTGTTAATGCTGGTACATTATTATCATCATTATCGCGATTATGTGTATGTTTGTGTGTCGGTCCTCGCTAGTCTTCTACCGGGGGGGGGTAAAGTAATCATTTTTTCGAAAAAAATAGACTTCAAACACAATCACACAAGCCTGACGTCGATGGCACAAAGACCAAGTTATATAATAATATGTTTTTTTTTTTCTAACTCTATTTAGGAACTGAATAGAGTTAGAAAAAAACATTAGATCAGTGATACAAACCGAATAAGTTGATAAATATACGGTAAAATTCTTTGGTAAGGTCTGCTGGGAATTGGTAGTGACGATAATTGCTAATTGGTTTGTTTGTTGTTTGTTTTTTCAGAAGAAAATAGCAGGCATGTCGGTTGTATCTAATTTTGCAACACGTAGTTTTCCAAAAGTTCTGTTTTCATCCTTCCAGTAGTGCTAATCCTGTCGTGGGAACATTTTATAACACTGTTTTTCAGCAGATATTAACTACCGAACTGCAATGAATAATTCAGATTGTTCATATAATTTTTCTTTTTCTTTCGCCAATTCCATGTGGTTGTGGGGTACGGGTGTATTTCGATTTTTGGGTATGTGTATGTTGATATGTGAAATAAAGAATCAGTGCTTAGCGGAAACAGATAATTTATTATACAAAAATAACGTAGATGAAAATGCTTAAAGGAAGTTGTTTGTGTCAGGGGCGTAGTTAGGTGATTAGGGGCCGAGGGTGAACGACCATTGAGATGCTCCCTCCATTTTTCATGTTTGATTAAAAAGAAAAAAAGAGGCGATTGAAAATTTAAAAAACTACTTTTACGTGTCTGAACTTTAAATATATATTTTTCTTTAAGATTCAACAAAACCACAACAGCAACAAAGTAACGAACACTTTTTGTGGGCTAAGAACATCATAGTCTACATTAAT